AATGAAAACATGCAAACTAACAAAAGTTATTGAGACGCTGAAAGAATAAAGAGGTAAATTATTTTGAGACAAAGCGAGTTAAATTTTATTATAATTTTTAAAATATTTTAATTTTTGAATTTTACATCAATATTTAAATAATAAAATAAAAATAACTTCATTTAAAAATCTCATAAAGAAATATGAAATTTATTATGAGGTGAAGAGAGTATCGAATTTGTTATTTTGAAGTTTTGTTATAAATGAAGAGAAAAAATATAAATTAGGAAAGAATATTATCATATAAATAAAGATATTTTTCAATAATAAATTTACTCATTGATTTCAAACCAAACTATTACTTTATTATTTTCCATGTCACAAATTGTGTGGCATATTAATTAAGTTTCAAAAAACGCGACATAAACAATATATACAACATGTCGATTTTCTTGAGATTTAAATCTTATTTTTATATATAAGAGATATCTAAGTCATACAATCTGAATTTAGCTATATAATTTTATGTGAAAAAATTGTAATTATAATTCATATTTTACATTTTTAAAATAAAATCATTTAAAAATTCCAGTAAAGTTCAGTTGTAAAATAAATGTAATTTTTTTTAATTTTTAAGAAAATAAGTTTTTATGTGAAACATATCAAATGTGAATATAGATTTTTTATTTTTGGAAAATAAATTTATTTTATTTTTTTACTAATTGAATCTATTTTATCCACGTGTTTTTAAACTCTTTTGTTTGAAGTCATGATATTTTGTGTTTTATAGTTTTAATCATTTCAGTCTATTGATGTTAGAATAATCCATGAACTTGAAAAATCTAAACAAATATTGATATAGAAAAATAAAATGTATCCAAATTTATACAACTTCATATAGAGTTAAAATTACTCATGTGTTAAAAAAAAACCATTTTGGAAAATATTAAAATAGAAAAGACTACGTACGTAATTATTGCTTATTGAGAACTAATTTGAAAAAATAGCTTTGTAGAAAGAACTATTTTGAAAATTTACTCAATTTCTTTTTTTAACTTATTTTTAGTTATATTAGATTAGTCATTTTTCTAAATTCAATTCAGTTATGTACACATTTTTTGTTGAATTACAACCATATTTTTTCTAAATAAATTCTCATAAAAAAGAATAAATTAATAATTTTAAAAACTTTTCATATTTTACTAAAAAACTTTTATATCAGTGTTAGTGTCTTTTATAATGAATAATTCACTTAATTTTTTTTGAAAAATTATATTTTGTTTTCATTCACTTACTTGATTTTCTTTGAATTCAAAAGTACATAACATTTTTGTAATATAAAATATACTGATTTAAACTAATCAAATATTTAAATATCAACTTCTAAAGATTATAATAAACTATTTGCTAAAAATGATCAATAAATATTTAAATTTCAACTTCTAAAGATTATAATAAACTATATATGAAGGGCTTGTTTGGAAATAACGTTAGAGATTAGCGTTAGCGTTTAGGATAAAATTTTAACGGTGCAGATTACTTTGAAAACGTTAACGCTAAATGCTGCCCGTAGATAGCCTTTTCAAAATGCTAACGCTAATAGCTAACGCTCTTCCCAAACAGGCCCGAAGACTTATTTATGAATGATTTTAGATTCAATTAATGCATACAGTCATCATTGACGTGTCAAAAAAACTCCACGTAAACATTCCACATGTCAAGCTCTGGTGATTCGAGTCTGAAATACTCCGTATTATATTAAAGGATTTCCGCTGGTTTACTCGGATATTACGTGGCGTGCTGACATGTTTAAATTTTGCCAGATAGACTTGCCAAATGTCGAATTTCTGTGCATCCGAGTCCCCTTTATTATATTAAAGGATTAAAGAATAGGGTTCGGCTGTGTTGCTATCTAGGATTATAACCTACGTATGAAATGAAAAATTACACATTTTGACTTCTCTAGGGTTTACGATTGGGAATTAGAGTTTATAGTAAACTCAATTATTTTTCCTCTTCCTCCTCCTCCTTCGCTATCCTCTTGCTTCTGGCCCTTCCTTAGTCTTCTCTTCAATTACATTGCCGATGTAAGAGGAAAGGTTCGATGTGATGTATAATGGGCATGCGCGAGGAAAAGTAAGATGGTATCTGAAGATAGTTGAAACAGTCTGAGTTAGAAAATAGCGTGAAAATCATTAAACATTTGTGGAACGTATAAAGATTGCTTTGACCTTAGCTCTTCAAACTCAAGGGGTAATTTTGGAATATTACATTGGTGTTTTTAAAGGTGGAAGGCCCACCACGGGTGCCCCTCTCTTCTGTCCTGACATTACAGTGATGAAGATAAATCATGGTATAATCTTAGTTAGGTCCTTAGAGATATCGTCGCGTGCTCGGTGCGTACAAAGAGCTATTACAAAGAATAAGACTTTCACACTATTGTTGTAGGGATTTGATCCTATGATCTTTGGGCATGACATTCTCCCCTCGGACCAACTAAGTTACCCATGCGAGCCACATGGGCATTTTCAAGTGAGGGTAGATGGAGGACAGTCTCATAATATAATCTTTTTTTTTTTTGGATAATTTCATGAGAGAAACTTTTTTTAAGGGTACTTCACCCACAACACATGGAAATTTCAATTATAGTTCTTAGGTCTATAATACGGAGTAATTTTATACACCCTATTACATTAATTGATTATATGTATTGGGCCTTATAAAAGTAAAAGGGTCCTACTTTGAGCCCGTAAGGAATATGAAAATATGAATCTCAGGACCATAATAGCACTAACTCTTCAAAAAGGCAAATTATTACGTAGTCATAAGGTCCATGTTCATTTATGGATATTATTGTATTGATATTATAAAAGAATTGAGCTCTTTATAAAGAGGAAAAGATCTACTTGCAAAGTCATGAAAAGTGTAAAAAGGTCTACATTTCATATGTAGACCTTAGGACAACCTTCAAGAACTACGCACTTTTATATAAGCCACAGAATCATTGGTTGTCTCCCACCTCTCACTTTTAACAAAGTAGCAGAATGATTTTGTTTATGTGATTGTGAGAGGCCCTCTTTAAGGCTGAGGGGGTATCGGGAAGGGAAAGCTAACATGAAGGCCGTGCTGGCACGACGGGATGGAGTTGAACACTGCCCGGCCTCCCTATGTGGGAAATGGAAAGGCGGATTCCCCTCTAGTTTTCCCGTGCGGCTCTCTTCTTCTTTTTGAATTGTTGTACGGTCATTTGCAATTTCTTTTTTTTTTTTGAATTGTTACTGTAAAAATACAAAAAAATCTAAAAGTCAATCACTATTTAAACACATCTCTCCACTCAATATTTTTACACACTTCCATCCATCTCTTTGAATTGTAGTAATATTTTTGTTTAAAATTTTTAACATTTTCAGAGTACAATGATTTTGTAACACCTCGACCTACATAACCTGAATACGCGAACTAAGAGATCGAGTTATCACTATATTGGCATCCAAACAAAACATATTTTCAAAATGATTTAAATCATTTAATTCAAAAACATTAGGAATGATCCATCGGAGTAATATCAAAACGGTGCGGAAGCTTAAGTACTTAAATTAAAATACAATTCTGGCTCTTGCCCAAAAATATAATAAATCCAAATTGAAATATTTAGTAATTAAATGAACTCCTCAGCTAGCATCCATCCATATCTTTATCCTTACTGTCTTTAGGATTAGTTCTTTATTCGTCATTTATGTTACCTACGTGTAGCAAGTAAAATAAACTGTTAGGAAAAAGTCTCAACGCTAGAGGGGAGATGAATATCATCCATCCATATCTTTATCCTTACTGCCTTCAGGATTGGTTCTTTATTCGTCATTCATGTTACCTACGTGTAGCGAGTAAAACAAACTATTAGAATAAAGTTCCAGCGCTAGAGGGGGGATGAATAGCATTTGAAACAAATAACGGGTAATTAAACATAAAGTAAATGGAAAGTAAAGAGCTTAAAGAAAGGTACGCCGAATTTTTACTGGTTCACCACAACTTGAGAACTCAGACTGCAGTTCAAGTTTTTTTGCTGACTTACACTCTCCCGAATTCTTAAATAAGATTCGTACTTCTGGGGTACCGAATCATGAGTTAACTTTGAAGGTAGGCACACCTATTATGTTGTTGAGAAATATTGACCATTCAATGGTTTATGTAATGGTGCATGGTTGATAGTAATCCATTTGGCTAATCACTCAATACAAGGAAAAGTATTATCAGGAAGCTACATGAGTAAAGAAGTTGTTATTCCAAGACTATCATCAACGCCATCCGATACGAGAATTCCATTCAAGTTTCAAAGAAGACAAATCCCTGCGGTTACTTCATACGCAATGACGATTAACAAGAGCCAGAGACAATCTCTGAAACATGTTGCATTATTGTGACAAAAGCTGGTGTTTAGTCATGAACAAATGTATGTTGCAGTTTCAAGAGTAACTAGTCGTAGTGGGTTGAAGATTCTGATATGAAACAAAAACAATGTTCCAACAAATTGTACAAATAATTTAGTATATAAAGAAGTCTTTGAAATTTGTAAAGAAGTGATATTTTATATCTTAAAATAATATAATCTTTATATTTTATTATATGTCATTTTAACATTAAAAATGATCTTAATTTAATTAGGTAAAAAATGCGTCGTGCAACACACAAATGTAATAGTAGTATTATAAATTGGAAGAGAAAGGAAGATAAAAGGAAAAACTCATCCGAGTTGACATAAGCCGCGGATGAATTGGGTAATTTACACCCCCTTCTTCACCTTTTTTGATTTTTTTGCCCAATTTTCAATTTTTTTTTCTCAAAACAGTCTCCCTCGCTCCCACTTCTCACTTCTTTCAGAGCCTTCTCCCTCTCTCTCCCACCTCTCACTTCTCTCAAAGCCTTCTCCCTCTCTCTCCTATCTCTCAATCTCTCTACGGTGACTGCACACCGCCACCCCACCGCTGCCAGCCTGCCTCCCGTGACTGCACTATACCACCCCTGGACTCACGAATACCTGCGGCTCTGGTCTGCGCCCCTGACCCTGCCCCTGCCTCCTCCTCTTGGTGAATGTGAGTACTTTTAAATTTTAAAGAATTTGGTTTTAAATTTGTAATTGATTTGGTACATATTTTGCATAAACTGTATGACAAAAAACTTTACTTGATTTTAATTGAGTTTGTAAATTAATATGGCGGAGATAAGAACCACAAATTGATTTTGTGGGGAGATTTTCAAGGAAGAAGGGACTGCCATAGAAAGGATTAGAACACTCGAATATGAAGATAATTTAATACTCCTATTTTTGGATATAACAACAACCAAGCCTTAACCCCACTGATAATTTTATTTCTTTTGTTCTAAGTAGGATGCTTTTTAAATTGATTTTGTAAATGTTTTGAGAAATCGATAACTATTCAAGCAAAATCTGAGCCTTTTCGCCTTTTTGCCTCAAATCTTGAGGCGTAGGCAATGAGGCACACGCCTTTTCGCCTCAAATCTGAGCCTTTTCGGAAAAAAATTAAATCTTTTAAATCTAGATTGCACCAGGGTGCAATTTTTTAGAAACTGCCATGAGGCGCGTCTCTAGGCGGGATTCACCAAGCTTTTTAAGACATTGCTTTTAGGAGTAAAAGGAGAAGTGTAAAATATTTACAATACTCCGTATCTGTGAAGGGGTATTAGGTAGACCATTGCCATATGAATGAGAATACACATGGTTTGATATTAATAACAGCGCATGTGGTGCATCTGATCATTTTTGGGTGTTGTGAACTTGTGATAGTGTAAACGAATAAAGGCTTCTCAATCCCTCCAATTGTATAATGGACAAAAAACAAACCAGATGAAAAAAATGGTGGATCCCTTGTTTCGGTACTACTCATCAAGTGTACTGTTTTTGTTCATTGAACATGGCATGTTATCCTTGTAGTGCCCTTAGGCAGAGTCATTTAGTCACAGTGATGATACATGTTCACGTGAATTCATCAGAGTGAAAAAACACTCAGCTTCAAAAATACATTGGGAAGCATTTTCATTGCTTAAATTTCAAATTTCCCTTGCCATATCTGAAGAAACGAATACAAATCACTTCTTGGTTCCACCAAAAAAAAGAAAAAGAAAATATCATTCATGATTTAACACACTTCAGTTCATAACATGAAAGTAGAAAGTTACAAAGTACAAACAAAGCATCTCAATATTAGCTTCTAGTGAACTTTCTCAACTTCAATCAATTTCTTCTTCTTCTCTTGGTTTGTTTGCATTCAAGGTGTAGAAGGAAAGAACACATGATGTAGTTTTTTTAGAACCTGAATTTGGCTAAAGTTGTATGTATGTTGAATGACTGTAATATTGTTTTTCAGGTTTGAAATACACATGTATGTTGAAGGGGCATGGAATTGAATTGAGGTAGATAGCAGGGAAGATTAGAGGATGTAGTTTACTTAGAACTCAAACTTTGCTGAAAGTGCACTGTAGATGAACAGCACAGCTGGGAGAAATTTTTCTAGTTTTTTTTCTCGTGATGAATAGAGGTAGTTGATAATATGACCAGAGCCTTGAATACATTGAATGTGGATGTGTTTTGGATAGTAGTGGTCCATTTTGGATGGGAACAAACAAAAAACATTTTCTTTTCCTTTATTATATAGTTAGATTCTTGATCAACAATCGCCACCTTTCCAGTAACGTAAATAACCTCAACCGGGTACAGCAATGTCGAATCCCCTTGAGCTTCTTCTCGACCACCTCCTTCTGTAAGATGAAATTTCTCTGGGTCTCATCTTCTCTTTCTCATTTCGGTTGCGCAAACATCTAATTTGCTTGTTGTATCGATGGTAGATTATCGGAACGAGTAGGAGATTCTCTCTCCCGAGCGACCTACAACCCGCCTGAAGCGTCCAATGTCAACATCAAGTCCACTCTCGAGTCCCTTCTTCCTCATCGGCTCTCGCCTTCATACTCTGATATCTCTGACTTTGAAATCACGGCCAAAATGAGTGACTTCACCCTATGTTGCGCAGCTTTGGCTGCTGCCTCTTACTCCTCTTGTGTGGAGCTCTTGTGGATTCCCAGTTCGCTCTCTGTGGCCGCAGTCTCGGCATTCAAGCTGCTCTATGAAGCGTACTCGAATTTTTTTGGCTCCAAAGAGTCGATGAAAGTTGGCCAATTCGAGTTTGATTTGAAATTTGTGCCCAATGACGTGCGGTTACTGATTGAGTTAATGCCTCAAGTGCTTCCCTCGCTTAAAAATAAAATAAAGGAGAGTGTCATTGATAGGTCGATTGACACTGATGAGTTTTCTGCTGCTAGCGCTAGAACTCCTGCAGCTTATGCAATTCTTGCTGCCCACCAATTCAAATGGCTTGTTACCCAGGTTCTTCTCCCTTAATTATTTGATAATATTTATATTTTCCTGATTTCCTTGTTCTTTGCCGATTTTCATTTGAATTGTTTTCATTTTCAAATATCAATGGCATGTTAGCTAGGCTGTCTGTATGAAAGCATGGATTATTATTTATAGTTCTTTTCTTAATTCTGATTTGAATTCTTTTAAAAGGCTTGTAGAAATCTTTATGTCCTACAGGTGAGCTATCCATTTCTGGGGAAGGTTTGCTCTTTGGTCATTCCTTGTGGACTAACGGCTCTAGATCACTGGTCACAAGAAGTGAAAGTGCGATTTTCTTTTCTTTCATTGTGGAAGTATTGGAAATATATAATTCTACTTTAATCCTCGGAATAGTTATTGGATAATATTAATTAGACTAGATGGAACACCTATATGACATTTTTAGCATCTCACTTGTAAACGTGTTTGCAGCCTTTTAGAAGTATTTTTTTTAAGGGGAACACCTTATTGGTTAGGCTGCAGAGTGTAATTGTTCAAATCAGAGTTAGAACTTGGTATAGACATGTTTTTGAGTTACTATTATTCAATATGATTTGTATCTTTGTGTTTCAGGGACAGGGCATGATTAGCTTCATACATTTATCTAAAAATGTGAATTCAGCTGATATTGGTTTGTATGAGGATGTAATTCTTGATGCTTGCTGCCAAAATATTGCTTCATCAGATGATGAAATATGGGAATATGTTGTTGAGATGTCAGTTCTCATGGTGACTCTTACCCAGAGAAATAGTCCACGGAGCATATGGTAGATATTTTGTGCATAGGATGTGCTATCGGAAGACACATTTCCATTTGTACCAAAGCTGTACACATTTTCAAAATTTCAGATGGCACTCATAATATTAACTTAATGATTTAGTTTTTTTTACTTTGTCTTTAAATTGTACAAAGGTATGAAAAGCTGCTTAATGAGATGTTGAGTCACCTGGAAAGGCAGCCTAAGAATAAGGAGCGCCGCATTGCATGGCTTAAACATATTGAGCCACTATTCAACAGTGTAGGCCTTGTACTGCTATCTCATTTTAGGCGTATTTTTCCTCTGTTCTTTAAATGGATGCATGCCGATGACGACGACACTGTTTTATTGGTAAGAAGTCATTGCATTTATTTGTACAATGATGTTTAAGGCCTGGCCACTTTTCATGAAGGCTATACTCCTCACTAGTATAACTAGCAAGATGTGAACATTTAACATTCTATTTATTGATCAGTATATGAATATGCTTATTTTGGTCCTTGGCCTTAGGTACTAGAGCGTACGAAATCAGTTTTGAGATTGACATGGATAAGGAATTCTCCATACACTGACAGGTTATTTTTACTTGTTACGTTTTGATTATTATCACCAATAATTACTTGCACTTCTAGAACTTTCCCCCTTACATGTTGGTCGCCACGCATGGGGCTTGCAGATTGGTGGATGAGCTTATCACTCTGTACAAGGAAGCAGCGGTGAGAGTTCTTCGTGAAGACATCAGATCGTGTATTCTTCAGACACTAATATTGCTCCAGAAGTACTAAACGTCAACTCGAATCTCTGTCTCTTGTCACATTTATACGACAATGTTTCTTTTGCTACTTGTTGGACTTCATATCCTTATTTTTTTCCTGCTTATTTTCCAAAGGTCCAGTGGTTTACATTTTGAAGTAGCTTGGGACAAGCACAAGAGTGATCTGGATTTGACTGTTCTCCACCAACTCTTATTGGGAAGTCATACAGCAGTGGTAGAGTAGCCCCCCTTCTAGAAATGTTTTGGATGTAATAGAGGTTTCTTATTTACATTTCAACACAGCATTGATTATAGTTGAAGTATCCATATAGGCATATTGTTGCCCTGAGCCACTAAGGCTATACGCAAAACCAGCAATAGGAAGACTTGGCTTTTTATTAACATGAGGTGTAGTTATCCTTTTAATAGGATACGGAAGACCAACATGATTATTTTAAAGTTCATGGTTTTATTGTTCAAGCAACCTTTTTGTTTTTTGTTTATTTCTCGATTTATTTATTTATTTACTCCCTCCGTCTACAAATAAACTTCATGTTCACTATTCACAGGGTTAAACTTTATTCACTTTGTTGGCCTATTTTCGTCACCCATTTTATAAAATAACATAGTCATGTCACCTTTAGTTTTGTAGATCTTTTGATATAGTTTTTTATTATGTAATTTTTATTTTTAAATTTTACACCATTTTTCATATAAAATGGTTTGAAAATAACTTCACTCAAACATCGTTACGCGCAACGAGAAGTTTATTTGTGGACGGAGGGAGTATTTATTTATTATTTGCACCGTCTTGCTATTTTTGGGACATGCAATAATGGCACAAAAAGTAAGAAAAGGGAAAATTTGTATGGTTGATATTGATAATAAAAAGTAAGAATTAACAAAAGCCACAAACACTAAAAAAATTAACCCCTCCATCCCAATTTAAGTCGACCAAATTTAAATTATTTTTATTATCTATTGTTGGTACCCATTTGAAAAAATAGTCATGTCAAATCATCCTGACTAGATTAGATTCAATCAGATCAAATAAGATCACATCAAAGTAGATTAGATCTATCAGATTCAATCGAATTGGACAGATTGGAACCAATCAACTAATTTTTTTTAAGATTAAGTTAAATAAATTAAGAAAAAGGTTGAACGGTAATGCTTAATTATTTTTATTATTTCATAATAATCAGTATACAATTAATTTATGTTGCATATAATATAATTTAATAATTACTCTTTTAATGTTATAAGTAATAATAGTAATGTTAAATATGCTTAAATAATACTGAGTACTTATTATTATTATTTAAGTCATTATAATACTCTATTTGTTACTAAGTTTTTGTTGTCTTTGGAAAAAAGTATAAAATTGTATCTCTTTTAAAATAATTTTATTTATAAAACTATAGAGATAAAGAGTAAAATTTATAAATCTAAAAACTAATTCAAAATATTTACAAAACAAGTAGAGACGTATCTATTTTATTTTATTATATAATTAACAAAAACACATATTTAATGATTTAAAATACTTAAATCTCAATAAATATATAATTTTTTTTAGTTATAATATTAGCAAACTATTAGACCAATTTCTAGAACGTTACAATAGATGATCAAGTTTTCCTCCAAAACCATAGCTTTGGAGGAGGGAATCTCTAACCATTCTCCTCTCCTTATATTTAATATTGATTGTCTCATGTTAAAATATGTGTTAAATATCAGAAGGGGTGGGGGGAGGGGGTGAATAGTGTGGGATGAGACTGTTAAAAAATAATCGCAGAATAAAATATTGCAGGTGTAAAGTGTGAAAATAAAAGAGCGAGGAACGACACAAGGATTCTTATACTAGTTCACCATAACTTGTGGCTACATCCAGTTCCCGAGAGACTCTCTTGACTTTTCCACTAACCTTGTTAAGCTTACGTGTGCTTAACAAACCATTTATAACCGCTCGCATGCAGATGTATCCTCTAAAGACTTCAAGCACTCGGACTCTTCACCCAAGATCTCACATTGCTCGAACTCCTCGTCGGAGACATCACCACTATGATTATAGGTTCTTAGCAAACCGAATGCTCAACGAGAATAATTGATCTTCTCAAACTTCTCTCTTATGAAATTAACTCTTTGGGAAGAGTGGATAAAGATATACAACAAAGGCTATATGAACAAGATAAAGTTATCCTTCAAATAGCTACTCAACAAAATTTCTAGATTTAATTCACAATTGATAGGAATATAATGATAAAGAATGAGGGGAGTTGTTTATTGAAAATAGCCAAATCATCGATAGCCGTTGGGAAAAAGTTGAGGTTGATTGGACTTGATTTATCCAGTCAAATTAATGATTGGTCTGCTGAAAATAGCCAAATCATCAATTGTTTAAGTACAACATCGATGTTCCCAAAAGTCAACTTACTAAATATGAAAATCTAAATGTTGGAGAGGTAATAGTTAGCTAAACATTCATGTCAACATTGATTTTTAAAACATTTTGAAATGTCTGGGTGAAAGGTTGGTCCAAAAGATCAAATATTTAAAGTAAACATCGATAATCTAGATTGAAGTAAAAAATTGACTGTAAAAAGTCAAATGTTTGTCAAACCCCCAACCTTCCCCAAACAAAAAAGTATTTATCAAAACAACTTATCCTATATATATATATATATATATATATATATATATATATATATCTATGTATATATATATATGTATATATAAAGGAGAGTTCATTAGTTGTAGTGGAGACACATGGCGTATGACATGGCAAAATTTATATCTACATGGCATAGTGTCATCATTTTATTGGTCCACATGGCATTTATTAGTTTATTTTTTATTTAAAAGATTGTTCATGATTATTTCTTTAAATTACAATAAACTTCTATTTATAATACTTTTCATATTCTAATTATTATATTAATATGTCCTTCGTCATTTTAAAATATATTTTAATATCTTATAATTAATTAATTACTTTTTAAAGGTTATTTAAACTTTATTAAATTTTTTAAAAGACATCTTCTTGTATAAATGTTTACACCATTTTCCCATGATAAGTGTAATAAATATGAAAGATTAGATTATAAAGAGTAAGATTTCAGTGTATAAAAAGTTGTCTAAAATTCATATTAAAAATTCAAACTTTTTCTTTAAAATTTTAAAAAAAAATTTCTATCAAAATTATAAATTTGATTAGTGAAGTGTAAAATAATAAGAGTCATAGAGGAAGTTAATAAACATGTCCTCCCCATACCATGATATCTCCAAAAATGAAATGTCTATGTAAGTTATTTACAAATAATTAATGTATTATTCTTCATATGTACATGCATGTATACTATTTATGTATTCTATCAATAGGCAATGCGATAGAACACCTTTAATCCTAATTCACTTTATTCTTTAATCTAGGTTTATATTTTAATATATATAATAACAATTTTATAGATATATTTTACAAAAAAATATGCAAGCACGTGCGAAGCACGGGGTAAAAACTAGTTTATGGTATACAAAGCAAAAGCCAAGCCTCTAATTATTTTCATAAGAATAGTTTTCAATATGATGATCGACATCTTGGACTTTACCACTATAATTAAAAGAATATAAAAATTGATGAATGTTGATGCAAATCTGATTTAGTAAATTTTCATGCATTTATGATTGCTTACAATCACCTATAAGCAATCAATGAGCAGTTCTGTTACGTGGAACTCTCTGTAGGGTATAATGGTATAGAGAATCATGAGTGAACAGTTCTTCTCCCGCACAAAAGCAACAAAACGATACCGCAGGATGCACCATTTTACACAATATCTTTCTTTGATCGTATTGATGCAGATAATGTCTTCCATATAAATGTCTTTCCGGTACCACCATAAACGTGTAAGAAGAAGACCCCACCATTTACTCTCTTGAATTGTAATGTTGATGGTGATTCATGCAAGGCTACACGACAAATACATTTACTCTTTCATTTTTTCCACTTCCAACAAAATACTTTCACTTTCTATTAAAAAATCACTTTTACCCTTACTTTTTCATATCATACCTATCACATCATACTTTATCTCTAATAATCTATCCATCACATCTTACTTTACCCATCACAACAGAGGCAAAATTGGAAGTCAACTATAATTTAGCACTTCCTTATTTTGGCTCTAAGTCAAAGTAGGAAGCTTTTTTGCAAACGGAGGGAGTATATCTTTACATTTATGAATTTGGAAGTATTTCTCTAGTAGCCTTTTTCAAAACACTCAACGGTTCGGTTTCTACAGTGAAATAAATTTAATTAATTAATCACTTTAGATGCTAATTCCATATCATCGTTAGACAATAAAGCATAAAAAGCAATACACATAAATATTTACTAATATTTGGTATTAATATGCTACAGGAAATTCATTAAAAAGAATTAGAAGAATGATTAGAGTACGATGAAAAAAATGAAAGAAAAAATTGATATGACATTAATTTAAGAGTACAATTATTAAAAAAATAATATAGTTTACCCAGTACTATATGTTCATAAATATTTTTTCCGTAAATTTCAATCTATACTACCTCAGTCCCAGAGTATGCCCAGTTTTATCTTTTTTAAGTGAACCGTTTTCAACTTGACCTATAATTAAATTATATATATATATATATATATATATATTACATTAATTAGATAAAATAAAATTTTGAAAGTATTTTATATAATAAATCAAATAAAACTATTTTGTATCAATATCTAATGTCATTTTTATTTAGTTTAGGATCAAAATTTATCAATTTCAACTGAAAAAGTCAAAAGTGGACAAATATTACAGGATGGAGAGAGTATAGGACGAAATTTCTATTCCTTATTAAACCAATTAGGCCCATAATATCCGGCCCATTCAGCCACACTACGGTTTTAACCTAATAATCACTCGGATCTGCTATCTTACTTCTAAACCGATCAACCACTTCTCTCTCTGGATTCTTTGCCGTTGGTAATGTAATCCATAATAATGCTTTTTCTATCGAAATAAGGTTCTGATGGAGAAGCAAAGGTATTCATTAACAACTAACAGCTATCTTTATGCTTTAAACAGGCCAGCATCATGGTTCTGATGGAGAAGCAAAGGTATTAATTAACATTTGCATATATGGAGTATTTCTCTATTTATTAAAAAAATGGATCCGGGTTGTCATACTATATCTTTTAATTGGGGACATTGGATCTATTACTTTAGTGCTCTCCATAGATCTTTCTATTGATTTTTTAACATTTAAAATACTACAAATATCCCTCTATCTTTATTTATTGCATTAGAACCAACTTAATTTAATATACTCCACCCATATTTCTTAAAGGTATTTAAGTGATCTTTGACCTTTTTTTTTAATAAGATTGAATATTGGTACACAAATGCTTATATGATTCTCATTTAGAATTGTATATTATTTAGATAAAATAAACTTTCGAAAATATTTAATATAATAACTCATACAAAACTATTTTTGTATTAATATCTAATATCATTTGTAATTAATTTGAAGTCAAAGTTTACCAACTTTCACAAAAAAAAGTTTTTAATAGATACATACTCAAGAATATGAGTATATATTTATTCAAAATACAGAACATTAAATGGAGATGTCTATTTCTTTTGATCATTTGTTTCTTCTGTTTGGGTTATTATTGTTTACATGTGAATTATACGGACTATGTGATTGGTGGGGTTATTTAAATGTATTATAGAGTAATAAAATCTAATAGAGAATTATTACAAAAATAGTTGTCCTATATGTGTCAACCTAGAATGGAGTGGAATATGTCTTTGTGTATTATATTGAGTGTATGACAGATTAATATGTGGGATTGTTTAAATGTATTATGGAGTAATAAAATCAAATACATTTAGGAGAGTTAGGACAAAAAAAGTTGTCCCATAAGTGAAATATGTGTACCTATTTTGTGAAGTATACGGTGGGTATGATTGGTGAGAGCTATAGTAGAAGTGGGACTTGTTAGACGCCTCACACACCTCTAGAGGGGGGGTGAATAGAGGTGTTGCCCAAAAGACCAGTTTTTTTTTGTGCAAAAACGTTCTTCACGAATATTCAATAAAAAAACAATGCACCACAAACAAAATAAAGTGAAGGATAAGAGCAATGCACACACGATATATACTGGTTCGGCCTAAATGCCTACATCCAGTCCCCGAAGCAATCGTGCCCAGGCCTTCACTAACCCGTCAAACTTAACGGAGTTTGACAATCCGAATACAACTCGAGAACTTGATTTCACAAGCCTCTTATCTTACCACCGAAGTTTTGATTTCACAAAACTCAGGATTTCTTCCACCTAACGTTTGATTTCACAAACCGTTAGGATTTCTACCACTTGGTGTAATCCCAACACCAAGAATACAAATCCCTTACAATAAAGTAAGAAAACAAACCGCAACTGAGTAATTCTCCCAACACGGAGTAGATTGTTGCAAATACAATGAAGTCCTTTAGAATATGGCAATATCTCTCAAAGACTCAAGCAATGAGGAAAAACTCAAGCAAGAAGTGATTTAGCAATCAAAACAATTGCTTTGCTTGGATATAAGGAGGGGATTGAGTAGAATCTCTTTGGATATTCAAAGGATATGTTCTTCAAAGTGTTCTAAGTGTTCTTATTAAGATAATCTCGAAAGTGATAGTTTATAGAAGTTGGGGAGTGGATAGGGATGAAAAGCATTCAAAAAACTAGCCGTTTGATAGTTGAAACTGTCGACTTATTCGAATAACTCAAGAACTATTCGAATAGTTTGGATCAATCGCGTGGCTTGAAAAAACCAGTTCCTATTCGAATAAATGGTGATTTATTTGAATAAATCAGGTTGAAAAACCAGGACTTATTCGAATAAGTGGTGATTTATTCGAATAAAACAGGTTAATTTCAGTCACAGGAAAGATCACAACTTATTCGAATAAACTAAAGATTATTCGAATAGAAAGGCAACTCCCCCACACAAAGGCTGATCTAAAATGTGTTTTAAAGGTATGATGATAAGGGAATGAACTTTAGAGATGCCATACTCTTTAACACATAATCTAAGACCTAAAACACTACTCAACTAAGGAAACAATCTCTTCGGTCTCGTTCCTTCCACCGATGCTCAAGTCCCTTCTTCACGGACGGATATGAACTTGTTGTAGCTTTGATTCTTAGCCTTGATGCACAATATGATGATGATGTTTTGTCACCCTTTTGTCATTATCAAAACCTAAAAGACAATGGGAAAAGGACATTGCAAAAATATATATTCATGATAGCACATTGTCCAACAGGACTAATGTATTATGGAATAATAAAATCAAATATAGTAAATCCAAGATAGTTAGGACAAACAAAAGATGTCTATTTCGTGAAAATACATTTAAGAGAGTTAAGATACCAAAAAAAATTGTCCTATAAATGTGTGAATGGAATGGAATATGACTCATACTCCCTCCGTCTGGAAATGTTCTTCCCATTTGACTTTTTACGGTCTCCAAGATTGTACTTTGACCACTAATATCTTTATTTAATACATGGATATATTTTATAAAAATTTGATATTTGAAAACTATATTTCAAAATGAATATATTCATATTAAAGTTATTTAGTAAAACAACGTATTTTTTCAACATATCATAGTCAAAGTTTACAAACTTTGACCAGGAAAAGTCAAATGAGAAGAATAATTCTGTACGAAGGGAGTACTTATTTTGTGAATTATACGAACTATAATAGGTGCGAGTGATTTTATAGGTGGGAGTAATAAAATCAGATACAGTACATCCAAGATAATTATGACAAACAAAAGCGGTCTATTTCTTTTTTTTCTTTTTTGAGACCTTAGAGGATGCATTCCTTTTGTTGAATAAGATGATAGCTTTCACTTTTTAATTTATTACTCCCTCCGTCCGCCTAAGATGTTCTCATTTTGACTTTTGGTGGTTTTTAAGGAGAATTGAAAAAAGGTGAAGGTTTACCATAATACCCTTAATGAAAAATGGGTGGAGTGTGTTAAATGAGGTGGGTGAAGTGTAATAAATAAAGTAAGTGGGGGTAGTTGTGGTATTTTACTTGTTAAAAAATGAAATGAGAAAATCTATTGTGGACAAAGAAAAAGGGCTATTGGGAAGATCTATGAGGGACAGAGGGAGTAAAATACAGAACATTTGTCATGGTAAAAATTAAAAGTTCTAAATATTTTTTTCAAATAAACATCTAAATAATTATATTAAATATTTACGGTGTGTTAAAAATGATAAATTAGACATGACATTTTATATTAATAATGGTGCTGAATAAGATAAGTTTTAATGGAACTTTAGGTATTGAAAAAACATACCGAGTATTTCATTAATAAGACATAGGAAGATAAACTAAAAGGACCTTTAAAAAAAGGAAATGCATTATTGAAAGAAGCTAACAACACACTATTGGACTTCAAAACGACACAAAGCACTCGGTAATTCTTCATCTTTGTTCCAATAATATTCTGCACAGGGTGTATTTCCTTGATCACAAATAGTAGTCTCTTTTCCGCTTGATCTAATCTATAACAAATTGAAAGCCAAAAGTAGCAAGGCATCTATCCTTGCCAGCAGGTTTGAGGATTTCCTTTCTTTTTTGATATATGGAGGTTTTATAATTCAATGTAAATTGTCACCCTGCAACAAATTTAGATATATATATATATATGTACAAAAATGTTAAATTCTACTCCCTCCGTCCCAAAAAGATTTAAACCTTTCAAAAAAATTGTGTCCCACAATCTCCTATCCATTTCTATTAAAAAACCACTTTTACCCCTTACTTTTTCAAACCCTACCTATCACATCATACCTTTTTCCTAATAATCTACACATCACATCTTACTTTTATCCATCACATCAAAGGTATTTTTGGAAAGTTAACACAAAATTATCCCTCCCTTAATTTCAACTTTAGTCAAAATATGTAAATCTTTTTGGGACGGAGGTAGTATAACATTTTTTACTATTTACAGGTCTCACAAAAAATGAAGAATACCTTTCTGTCTTCAAAAGCTAGTTCCAAAGTCTCTCCAAACTGCTCACTTGGTGGATCGTGATACACTCGTATGACATAGAGTTATAAATTTCAATCCATCTTTATAGGGTTAACTTTATTCAATTCGGACCATTTAGAAGCAGCAGAAATAGGAATTACCATTGTGGGAATTTATGATGAAAAGAGGTAGAGAGATAAAGTTATGAAGGATTGGTATGAAATCCTCTAAAGAGATAAAGTTGTGCACGAATTAAAAATGTGAAGAAATGGCATGGAATATAATTGGAAAAATGATAGAGAGATAAATTATTGGTAGAGAGAGAAATTATTGAGAAGCCGAATGAGTGAAGAAAATGAAAGGTGAATGTCTTGTACTTATAGATTGCAGGTTTCCCAGTGTTTGTCTTGACATGTTAAATGAGTGGCGAGAAACAACATATAGTATTTTATTTTCTTTTTATATATATAGAGTAGGATTATTATTATTATTTCCTATTCTTGTATGGCATCCTCTAGTTTTGGTAGGAATAAAGTTTTAGCTGGTTTAGAAATTTACTTGTTTAATATTCCTTTTTCCTATATAAAGAGGTTTGAGTCTTGGGAATCACCAAGACATTGAATATAAAAAATATTTTCCCATTAATAGTTTTTACATGGTATCAAATCCAAACCTCTAGTCGACGAAAACGAAGAGTTGTCGATCAACAAACATGTAGGATTCCTCCAGTAATCTGTTTTATATATATATATATATATATATATGTCTCTGTGTGTGTGTGCGCGCAGTGGCGGACCCAGAAATTTTGAACCATGGGGTCGCATTCTAATAAATTCATATCAAACCGCAACATTTTTAAAATTAAATAAAAAAATACTTCATAGTATACTCCCTTCATCCCACAAACTCTTTCTCTTTTCTTTTTTTCTTTGTCCCACAAAATCTTTTCTCTTTTCATTAAAAAACTATTTTTATCCCTACTAATTCTTACTCTACCTATCGCATCATACATTTTTATTAATAATCTAAAGTCAACCCATCATATCCTATTTTTAGTCATCTAATTAAGAATATTTTTGGAAAGTCAAGACAAAGATATTTCTTTCTTAATTCTCCTAAAGTCCAAATGGGAAGGACATTAAGGGCCTGTTTCGGAATAGCTTTAGCGATTAGCGTTAGCGTTTTCAAAAGGCTATCTACGGGCAGCGTTTAGCATTAGCGTTTTCAAATTAATCTGCACCGTTAAAATTTTATCCAAAATGCTGACGCTAATCGCTAAAGTTATTCCCAAACAGCCCTTAAGGATTGGAGGAAGTATAATATTAAAATTCACATATATTGTAAAATCACAAATTAATAATACTCTTTCATTAAAAATATAAAATACATATTTGAAAGTCTAGTTTTCATATTTTGAAAGTGATTTATTATAATACTTAATACCTTTGTTTCCTACATTGAAATTTATATAATTAAGAACATTATAAATTTACAACAAAACTCAATCATTTTAACATATTCATGATCTTACAAAATGTGAATGTAATTCACAAATTACAAATTGAAAAGAATAAATATAAAAATTCACAGTTCACAAATCACAAATCCAAATATCCAATTCTCATTCAATCATGCTAATAGAAACTAAACAACAAAAGAATGCTTGCAAAATATAAATCTAATTCACAATATACAAATTGAAAAAAAATAAAAAAAATAAATTTTAAAATTCACAATTCACATTCAACTATGTTTTAAGAAACGTCTCTTATAGAGGAAGAAGTTCAAGAAAAAAATACACAAAAAAAAGAGCTTTTGTGGGGAGATTTCGATTCTTTCGTACTGCGTTTTTTAAAAATATATTATTACTAAGTACGTATACCTATATGTATATATATAAAATTATAAAATTTTCGTGGGGTCGCGTGACCGCGTATGACTCAACGTGGGTCCGCCCCTGTGTGTGTGTGAGCACACACACACATATAACAGATTGAGAGTTAGGCTTCTAAAATTGTGACATGTGTCATGTCTATCAGGCAACGTTTTTGACATGTCAACATGTAATATTTGAAGAATTAGTTAACAAAAAAACGTATTCTATGGAAATTAAATTTCGTATTTGTTACATACAAATTTCTCAGTCTAATTGGAGAGATTTTTCTTTTTTGGAAAATTAAACCGAAACAAATATATAAAAGGAATGAGATTTTTATGGGCATGTTTATTTAATAGAGCATTAATTTTATTCTATATATATATATATATATATTAAAAAAATTCTAAGTCAAATAAAGAGTATTTTCCATTTTAAAATTACTATTTTTCATTTCTAACTTTGTAATAGTTTATAGATTTGTGAATTTTTTTTTACCATTTTTCATTAATAACTTTGTAAAATGATGAAGACTTGGTAGGTGACTATTTATGTGTAAGAAATTAAATATTAATTTATGTTTCTAATCAAAATATTTATGGTATAATATTAATTTTTATAAGTGTAAGTACTATTGAATAAAAATATTGAAAAATATAAAACACGCTAAGTGTTTTGCCATCTATTTCAAAACAATATAAATAAATAATTAATATTCTTGCCTATTTATTCATCCGATCATCGACACCAAATCACCAATGTAACAAATATTAGTGGAAAATAAAATAAATTATATTTAAAAATTTTTAGATAAAAATTTATAATATTTATTTTATGATATTATTACAGATATAGAAGGAGAGGGATCATCATTGGCTATAGCCTCGCATCATCGAACAAGTTCGAGAAAAAATGTACTCTGCGAACACGTTCCAGTACACACTTCCCAAAAAATCATCTATAGATTCTCCAACCAAGGAATAATTATACACACACTTCATCGCACTTTCAAATGCATAAGATACAGAAGAGAATTGATCTATCATCTATAGCCTATGCTACTAATTTCTTTGAAGGTGATAATACAACTTTTGTCTTTGTGTATTAACTAATTATATGTATAAGATATTATAAACAATGTAAGAAAATAATACGTAAAAATAGTCGATATATTTTAAATTTAGATATCGATGTAGAAGGTTCATCTGCTCTTGATACATTAGTGGAATCTTTTTTAGATAATCTTGCATTTCGATTAACTGAAATTAAAATTATGTTTAGATTATATATGCAACATGTAAGTTGTGTAGAATGCTAAACATATATAAAAGACTAGCTTTATCATATTTTATTTTCCGAAGAACACATACCCTAGATATGAGTAAAAACTATGAAAATACTAAAATATGAGTCATAAGTCTTTTAGAACCAAAATAGGAGTTTACAGTGCCACACTCACCACATTGTCATATTGTAACTGTCAGACTACCACCGCCACATTAATCATTGAAGAGTTGTGAAAGAACATTATCAGTGCAATTGTGGTTTTAGGAAATCGAGTCGAGAAAAAAGTTTACATAACCTGAATAAATTTGGTACGATTGGATTCAGGACAATTCTCAGTAGTTCAATAATCTAATGTTTTTCTATGACGATTAACAAAAGTCAAGGTCAAACATTGTCTTTTGCTATATTATTTTTAATCAATTCAAAATATATTCACGGTCAGCTTTATGTTAATATTTCACGAGTGAAAGTAAAGACATGATTAAAAGCATATGTTCTAGATGACAATGGAAATCCTTTGATGTTACAACTTACAACTATACCAAAAATGTTGTGCACCCTAAAGTTTTTCAAAAAAAATTGGAACTAAAAAAGACATTTTCGAGTACACTTTCAATTCCTGAAATATTATTTATTCTACTTTGGAGTTGTTCGCCATTGATTAAAAATCATGTAAGGAATATATTTACTTGATTCAGGTAAAAATATTACATTTTAAAAAGATTGAGAATCAACAAAAATTTCATTACACCCTGTGTTGCTGTGCATTGTACGAGTCAAAATACTAGTGTGTGTGTGTGTGTGTGTATATGTATATGTATGTATGTATATATATATATATATATATATATATATATATATATATATATATATATATCAAAGATTCAAAGCATCTAGAGTTTTTAATTTGTTACATCAAAGAAAAAGTTTAACTATCTCTTTTAATGAAAACCCTCAGGTTTTCTTTATAATTTATTTTATGGTCTTGGTGTGATGAGTTCTCATTACCATGACAAATTTAAGAAAATACATGCAACTGCATATTTTCATTCACGTATATAAATGGAAATATTGATAATCTCACAACAACGGTTGAGCAATAATTTACTCTCAGCGGACACATTCATCATCACATACCATGTTTAATGTCACAATATGGTGAAAGACCAAAATTTACACAATTGTATATTTATGATATACCGAACGAGATATGAAAATGAATTACTCATTTTAGGTATCTTGAATACTTTATTGAGTACACCCTTTTAATACAAGTACTATTTGCATGTGTTTGAGCATATAATATGCATGGAACATTATTAACATGTTAACAAAAATAATTTTTTTTATTTGTTTCACACAGTAGGGAGAATAATTATTTGACTACTGATAAAAGTTTGGTCAAAAATGTGAAAAAAATGATAGATGAGCATAATGTTTTAACACAAGTTTTTAGAAGAACTAAAGTGCACGAAGTTGCTTCTATAATAGTTAAAAATCTTGATTCATGTAATGAAGAAAAGGACATCATCGCGAAAAGAGATAGATTCTTACAAAAAGACCACGAGGCACACTCTGTTTTCATACCTCTGCAATACTCTTTTTTTCCTTTTCGAGAGGATGGATATCAAGAGATATCAAAAAAATATTCTTATAAGGGAATCATTTCTTGTGCAAAAATTGTAAAGCGTCGAAGAATATCAGTGAGAGACTTTGTTGCATTTCAATTACAAGAAAGAGAAAAGGATGGTGGTATTGTGTTGCTTGCACAAAGATCGTATCATTGGCCAACAAATCATCTTATCATATATCTACATTCACTAGGGAATGAGATATATGTTTACGGATGTGCTAGGGGTACACCACATGTGTACCCCAGCTTGTACCCCATATACCCCCTCCCCCCTCCCCCTTTTATTTTCCACCACAAAATAGACCACTAGAGATGAGAAGCAACCGCCTGTCCTCTTCTTCGACCAAAAGCATCGATTTCCCAGCGCTGCATCATCTCCTCCGCCGGTGGTCTCTTCCTTGTGGTTGCCACCACCACCTTACCCATCGCCGTGCTGCATCAACTCCGTCGTCGTCTGCTCCTTCCCCATCACCATCAACACCTCAATCTTTTGATTTGTTCAAATCAAATCCTTGTAAAAACTTCTTATTATGATTATAGTTGGTCTTAGATGTTTATTTGTGACTTCTTGGAGTCTGATTTAATATTTTTGTGAAATAATGATATTTCATCATTTTAAGAACCACACACGTATATGGTGTCTGTGAGAAACTATCTCATAGAACTTTTACAATGAAGTTGCATAGATATTGAATATTTGCTATTTTGTAAGATTTGCGTTTTTTAAAAGTGCTTGAAGATCTATTAAATAAAAAAAATTGAACAAGGTTGCGCTAATTTTGAATAGTTGTGGAAGAGAATAAATAAATATTCTACAGACATTCTTTGTCTGTGAAATATATTTACACAGAGAGTAAATGTCTATTTTGATTCAGATTACACAAATAGTAAATGTCTGTGTTCAAGAAAATAAAGACTTTTAGTGTCTGTGTGACTAAAAAGTATTGATTGTAATTTTTCATTTCTTTTAAACATAAGAAAATTTCAGAAATGTTCTTGGTACAGTACTATTTCGTAGGTGTGAAGGATGAAATTTTTATTTGAATTACACAAATAATAAATGTCTGTGTATCAAGAATTATAGATATTTAGTGTTTGTGTAACTAAACAGTGGTAATTATAATGTTTTTTCTTTTTTACAATCTAGAGAAAATTGTGAAACATTCTTTATGATAATATTATTTGGTATATTTGACAGATGTAAATTTGTATTTAGGTTTTACAGACAATAAGTTTCTGTTTACAATGAATTACAGACGCTTGTTGTCTATGTGACCAGAACATACTTCGTACTTAGGTTATTTTTACAATATAAGAAAAAATCATGATGTATTCTTATTATTATATTATTTGGTATGTTTGGCAAGTGCAATTTTCGTATATTAGTTAGATGGAGAACAAAAGCGAGATTTGGATTGGAGAAGGGCGACGAAGCACACGTTCAATTTCTTCGCAGCCACCGCCTTCCCTGTAATCGCCCTTTCCTCCCAGATCGCCACCTCAATCATTTTTGTCTTCAACAACATAGTCGGAGCTGTAGATTTTGACAGAGATCGTGGTGTAATTTTGTCTTTTTATAAACATTAAGAAATTTATAGAATGTTCTTGATTTATCAAGAATTTCATATATTGAATGTCTATTTAAATAGAAAGTGATAATTAAAGCTTTTTTTATAATCTGGAGAAAATAATGAAATATTCTTTATGCTCCATTATGTGGTATATTTGACGCATTTAATTTTTACACAGGTTAAATAGACAATAAATATCTATTTCTAATAAATTACAGACACTTTTGTCTATGCAACAATTTTCAAGAGTAGTGAAAGACTTAACATATGACATCTTTCTTTTCCATTTTTGCAACACTTTTTTTTAATACTAACGCAACGTTTAAGCCTCCCCAATTATTACAACTTCAAAAACAGAACATTAAAATAAAATGGACTAATGGAGTATCTTTTTTTGTGTGAATCATATAGTACAATTTACCAAGTACAAAAACTCAATACAAATTACAAGTGACTTGTAAATATATTAAATTCTAATACTTTTCACTATTAAAAAGTTAATAAGAGTTTTACAATCCGATATATATAATCCTCTCATACAATTGTTCCCTAATTATATTTGTTGAAATATAAAGGCTTGCTATTGAATCACCTATATGTCACTGATAACCTGCACAAATAATAAACAAAAGTAATTAAAAATAATAAAATTATAGGGTCATTTGTTTGCACAAACTGTAAAGGTAAAGGTAATATCACAGACAAGATACAAACAAAATGGTTTGTCATCTTAGTTAAAATAAGGAGTTTAAACAAAAATAGAATATAATTCCTTTAACATATGTGGACGACATAAGTTCTTCGACAATACCTTGCAAAAACACATTCTTAACCTCAATATAAACAAGGAAAATTTACTCAATTACATTGATACATGAGTAAATATGATTTATCTTATATTTCCAGTACCTCCTAACCAAACTTTGAGAAGGATTTGGTGTAGTCAAATTGATACTCCAAGTATGATGCCATTTTTTGCCAATTGCACTCTCATGGGATTCATGTGCAATCTGAGTAGACACAATAGCTGGAGAGTAAGCTGCGACATTCATAGACATTTATTGTTTGTGAATGCTAAACCATAAACACTAATTGTCTGTGAGTGTTGTATTCAAAGAGATTAATGCAACAAAAATATTTTTTTATCAAAATTAAAAATACAAGAGGAGATGAGTGAACTAAACCAAAGCCCTTAAAAATAACAAACACCTAACCCTCTACAAGTTACCAGTGAAAACAAATTCTAACAAAAGGAAAATAATTGTACAAACGGCATTGCAAATGTAACATACAAAATCTTTCACCATTAGAGTATGTTCTTAATTTATAAGTTTTAAAAATTTAATTAAATACCTTGAGACATTGACTATATATCATTGAGTTGACATATCTTTCAAATACATGTAAAAAGCAATGTATATGTAGCTATCAAGATAATGAATAAAAGATCCAATAAGAAGCAGTTTAGAGACTTTTTATAGCAAGTGTTGAAACTAAGTAGACTCTTAATTGGAAAACAGGCATTCCACACCAGTAATAAGCACATCACAAACATTTTAGAGTAATTTTTCAATCAAAGCAAGTTTTTTCTTAGAATACAGACATTTTGTGCCAACAAGAAGCACATCATAGACATTTCAAAGCAATTTATGAAATTGAGCAAATTTTAAATAAAATACGAACATTTTTCACCAATAACAAACACTACACAGACATTTCGTCATAAACATGAAAAATTCCCAATTACCACAAGTTTTTAACAAAAAATCAGCCATTGAAAAGATTAAAAAAAGAATTAAATGGCTGAACAAGTTTGAGAAACAATGATTCACAAAAAAACATTTAAAAAAGACTAATTTCACAAGAGGGGAGGATTGATTTGTGGTTAGAATTGAGTGATTGAATCTGGCTTTACAAATAAAAACCCTAAAATTGAAATAAAAAGTGTTTATTATAACCTTTAGTTTGTTGTTGTACGGTGGTTAGGGCGCAGAAGATTGAAGAAGATGAAGGATGAAGTCTCCACCTAGTTGAATCATCCATCGATGCACCAGATTGAGGAAGGCGAGTAGGCGATGTCACTACGGAAGAACGAGGAAGACGAAGGAGGAACTCTGGGAGAAGGGCTGGTCTTCCGTTAGTTGCCCGCTCCCTACTTTCCCCTGGAGAGATCTGCGAGAGAGAGAGAGAGGGAGAGAGAGAAAAAAGTAGGAGAGGGGTATAGAGAGAGAAGAAAGAGGGAGGGGGTATATGGTGTACAAACGGTGTACACAAATGGTGTACACATAGCCTTTTCCATATGTTTAACAACTGACAAGATGTAATGGTCATTTGTAGAAGGTTTGGTTATCCAAATTTATTCATTACTATAACATGTAATCCCAAATGACAAGAGATAGCAAGATAAATGACAATAAAGAAATGTGAAAACACGCCTAACATTGAATCTAGAATCTTTAAAATGAAAGTGGATCATTTGGAGAAGCACATAAAACATGAATTATATTTGGTGAATTAATTAGAGATAATTTTAAGGTTTGCTATATTAGTTTCAGTTAAATAATAAAAAAGTTGTTGTAGTTTGGATGTTCAAATTTAAAGTATGGTCATTTGATTGAAATAATTCCGTGCATGTTTGTACACTGCTGACTTTCAAAAGAGAAGTTTGCCTCATGCACATATCTTAATATGGTTACACAAGAGGGATAAATTATAATCCACTTAAAAGATATCAAAATAATTTTTTGGCAAATGAGTTGGACTATGACAAAGAAAAGTTGTCATTTGATCTTATGAGATATTTATCTACAATAAATGAAGATCAGAGAAAAATATTTAATGAAATAATAGAAGCCGTGACAGCTGAAAAACAAAGTTTTTTTTGCGTATGGTTACGGTGGATGTGGAAAAATATTTCTCTAGAAATTACTTTATACTTCCTCGAGGTCAAATGGTAATGTTGTCTTGAATGTCACTCAAGATTGTTAATTCATTTGGCATTAATCGAGTGCTCATCGTGTACCATCAAGCAATAGAGCTTAATTCATTTGGCAAATGTTCTAGGATCCTAAACCACAAAATAGTTTTAAAAAGGGTACGGATTATGTTATTGAAGAACCTTGACGAAACATCTAGATTGTGTAATGATAAAAGATTAATCATTAAAGAGTTACGAAAGAACATTATCAGTTCAATTGTGGTTTCGGGAAATCGAGTCGAGAAAAAGGTTTAAATGCCTCGAATGATTTTTGTATCATCTGATTTAGGACAATTATCAATAGTCTTATGTTTGGAAACCGAAGGTCAAATATTGTCTTTTGCTATATTATTTATAACCAATTCAATAATGGTCAGCTGCTTTATGTTACTGCTTCACGAATGAATTGAAAGCAAAGAAATGATTAAAGATATTGGTTCTAGATGACAATGTAAACTCTTACAATCATACCAAAAATGTTGCGTGTTGTGAAGTCTTTCAGAAAGTTTGGAATTAAAAAAGACTTTTTCCAGTACACTTTCAATTCCTCAAATATTGTTTATTTTACTTTGGTATTGTTGTCCAATGATAAAAAATCATGTTAGAAATATATTTACTTGATACGAAAAAATATATTGCATTGAAAAAAATTTAGAATCAACAAAAAAATCGTTCGACCCCGGGTCAAAATACTAGTATATATATAAAGTAGAGCAGATTAATTGTGATTGTTCCATGTGTCACGCCAACAAGTCACCCTTTCATTGCCAGCTACTATGCTACATCATGCAAGCTAATATGACACATCATTATGAAATATTTTATATTATATAAATGAGAGAATAATCAATGTGAAAGAAAAAGAAAAGACACAACTATATAATAACATACTCCCTCTGTCCAAATTGAAATTTCTCAGTTTGACTTGACGCACTTTTTAATGTAAGATGACAAAGTAATGCATTTTCCATATTTTCCCTTTTAATTACTCTTCATCTGTCTATAACCCACTTGCCCGTTTCTTCAAAAATAAAAACTAGACTTCTAGATCTTCATCAACCTCAACCCATCCTTGCACCCCATTCCCATGTCTTCCTAATCTTCAAATCCAAAGTTCTAGATCTTCCTCAACTTCAGATCGGTCCACCGGCAACTTCAGATCGGTCCACCGGCAACTCAAACCTGACCCCTATGCAGTATAGAGAAATTTGAATCCCATTACCCTTAGAAATCAAATATAGGATTAGGCCAAGACATGAATAGAAAAAATTGTAAAGAGATGAATAGAAAATCACGAACAAGAAATTGAAAATCAAATCTTGGATTCTTCTGCAACCCCGACGAGAATTTCCGTGGTAACCGACACCGGAAGTCGAATATATCGGTCCTGAGACTTTTCTGAGAAGAAGTACGATAACTTACGCACCTTTACGAGGCTTCCCATAACAACACATAAGGGGTAATTTTACAACTCGCGAGTTGATGGCTTTCACACCTCTACGAGACTTGTCGTAGCAACACGAAAGGCGTGGTTTATTAATTAATTAAGATAAAGAATTTTTCTTAACTAAAACAATAACTCACAAATTTGTTTGAAAATTCTCAAACACTCAATATATTCACTTCAATATGTTCAAACTCTAGATGCTTTACAAATGGAGAACCTATGCCTATTTATATGAAATAATTAACACTAAGCTACAAATATCAATTAACCTTGCAAATATCCTTGAATCATTTCCCAAGATGTTGCCCTTCAAAAGAAATAATGAATTATTTTTTAATGTTATTGACTCAATTAAATTTAATATTTTTTCATACTTTTTTTTTAATCTAATGATGAACAGTAATAAATTAAATCATGTTAATTTGTCACGTTGAAAAAATTAATTCGAGTTCTTTTATATTTTTCCAACACATACTACCAGATCTCAAAAAATGAGAGGTTCAAGTAATTTTTTTTTTTGAAGCAGAGAGGTTCAAGTAATTAACTTACGAGTAGTTAAGGAAATTTTCATTTGCATGCTCTAACATGACAACTTCTCCTTACATTCCAAATTAAATTTCATGCTTACTATTCACAAGATCAAACTTTATTCACATCTTTTTTCTATTTTCATTAGTCATTTGATAAAATAATATAGTCATGTCACCACTAGTTTTATTGATCTTTTCATTTAATTTTTAAAATATGTAATTTTTATTTTTTTAATTCTACGTCATTTTTCATATAAAATAATTTGAAAATAATTTCAGTCAAACATCGTAAACCGAAACAGATAATTTAAATTGGAACGGAGAAAATATAATACAAATAAAATTTCACTTCTCTACTCATTTTAATTTCATCTTTTACATACAATATCACATTTGTAAAAATAATTTTTGAAATACATACGAGCCCGTGCGAAACAAACTAATCATAATAATTAATAATAGTAAGTAAAAATATGTGTAATATGTGTATAGCCCAAAAGAAAGTATGTGGCCCAATTAGTATTTTTTCTTGCCACATCTCTAAACCGAAAGTAGTTGGCTTCTCCGTTCTTTCTTTCTGTCGTGCGTTAACAATCGGAGAGGAGAGACGGAGGGAGATACGTTCCGCTCAATCATCTTCCTCGCTCTTCTTCGTCCACAGCGTCCCTTTCGTGTGCGACGATCTTACTTCGAGATCATGGTACGACTGAACCCTTTCACCATTCTATTTCATTCTAGTAATAGCTTCGAATAACTCCCCAGAGCTTCTAGGTTTTCTTGCTTCGATTGATTCCAGAATTTAGGGAGTTAGGTGCTAGGTTTCGTACAAAACCTCTAATTTTGGTTTGGAAGTCTCTCAAACTTGTTCATAGTCTAAACCATTATGATCGAAACCTCCTTCTGGAGTAAAAATGATTTGTTGAGGCAGATTTTAAAATATACTCAATCTAGTCCTTTCGTTTTAAACACGTAATCTCTTCGATTTTGGAAAATGTCAAAGCCCTGGATAAAATCAGACATTTGTTTGAGTTTTTAAAAAGTAAAAGGGTATCATCCCTTCCTTGAGTTTTGGAACTGAGGTTTTTTTATGTGCAGGGCTTCAGGTTTGCTTTAAAATACTTAAACTCAGTTTCTTGTTTCTAATAAAATCCCTTCGCCTTTGGTTTTAAAGTGGCAGCTCTGCAAAAGCAACGCTCATCCTTTCTTTGGGAAATAAAAGATTTATTAAAATGCTGTGGCAGTAAAGAAGTTTTTTTTTTTTTTTTGGTTTAAGTTCAAAATCACAATTCTTTTTTTTTTTTTAATTTACAAAACTGAGATATTGTAAAACTATTAAGCACTCAATACAATTCCTCAACTTTGGTAACAACTCTACTTTGTCAAAATTTATTTGTTAATCCAAATTGATCGTCATGGTTAAACAGCTGCCGCCTTTTTAAAATAAAAGTCTCACAGAAACATAAAGTCGGGATTCCAAAATAGTCTGTGTGTTTCATAAGAGGTTTTTTAACAACATTCTCAGGGGTTTAAAACTGTCACTGTTTAAATGAATCGTAAAAGTTTGGCTTCTACCTTATGCTTAGTAAAGAAGTCAATTTCTCCACAGTAGCTTGTGATCTAACAACTCCTTAAAAATAATGGTAAAATCAATTCAACTAGTTATGATTATAGGCTAAAATGTAATATTAAGAATTGATAACCCACTCACATGATAATACTTTGATGACAGTTGGAAGATTCAGGAGTCTGCTGTGATGCTAGTATTCCTTCATTGACAGCTCTTGATCGGCAGCCCCTCCTCAAGAATATTTGTCTGTTCACCCTAGTAGCAACTATGGCTTATGCAGGTATTGGTTTTCTTAGGGATGGAGTTGATGATGTTTGGGTAAGTATGTGGTTTTAATTGTATACGGTAGAGTTGTAAATGGCTAGTTGAGCACTTGAGCTACTCTGATCCCTTTAATTTGATAAACATTGCTGACTTACATACTGCGAAACATTTCTCTATTCTCCCCCTTTATGTAGAAGCATGAGTCGCTCCTTCATCAAAGCTCTTACCTTCTGCTTGCTGGAAACTTGTGATGGTAGAGAGCTAGGGTCCCTCTCATTAAGTGAAGAAAACGGACGTGGCTTGGAAATCTTTTGGTACCTTGGCTAGGGTCCATCACTCTTAATGAAAGAAAATAACCTAGCAATTTGATATTTCTTTTTCTATTTGGCAGGATAGGTGTGAAGGTAAATGGACTGGACCCCTTAATAAATGGAGAAGATGACCATTCTCATAAGACTTGGACAGTAGCTCCTTTACCCCAATTTCTACCAACATCAATCAACCATCCGTCCGTGTAGTTTAGGATTATTCCTAAAGTGAGACTTAATAGGTTTTGCTAAAAGTTTGTATACATCGAGTATGTTATTAATTAATAATCATTTGTAATCATCTTGGTATGTATATAAAAATACTTCTTATGAAAATGTATTTGTTCAATTTGATCTGTAAATTCAAAAGTGAAAAAAGTATTCTTTATGTTGGTCATACTATTTCAACCTTATGTTTTATGAAATTTTAATTAAAAAACTTCATGTTCTTTTTGTGGGGTGTTTATTCGTAAAAATAGAACACAAAAAATCATGTTCTTTAAAATCGTCTACCTTCTTGATCGTATACATTTCCAAAATCAGTTTAGAAGTTAAATACTCCATTCGTCTCTGAATATTTGTTTACTTTTGACTTTTTCAGTCAAAATTAGTAAATTTTGACCTTAATTTAAATAACAATGATTTTAGATATTGGTACAAAAATAGTTTTGTTAGATTTATTATATCAAATATTTTCAAAATATTATTTTATCTAATATTTTATTTACCCATAGGTCAAAGATTAAAAATAGTGGACCGAAAAAAGTTAAAACTGGACAAATATTCAGGGACTGAGGTAGTACATGAGTTTTGCGAATAAAATATTACTCTTTGTTGATAATATTTAATTTAATTTAAATTCACATATGTGTTTTTAAATTTCAAAAATACAAGGATGCAATAATAAAATAGATGTTAGAGTTTACTTAGAATATATATGAGATTATTTTTTTATTTCAGTTTATTTTTTTCTTACTTTGCAAACTCTTTGTTTATATATATATATATATATATATATATATATATATATATATATATATAAAGTTAACATAATAGAAAAAAATGTTTGTGAAAGTGTGTTTATCATTTGAAAAAATTTATTCCATTTTCTTATACAATTATTTTATTAATATGAATACGGTATTACACAAAAACCATTTAACTAAGATCAAAAGCCACCAGAACGGATAAAAAAACCAAATGCTGAATGTCAAAAGTCAATTGCCATGCCGAAAGCCCGAAGTCAAATGTCAAGTATAGGTCTATTTCGAAAAGTGATTTTAGGGGAGATGAAAAGTGATTTTGGGGGATTGATTTTGGTCTATTTCGAAATGTCATTATTTTATGCATATGAAAAATGACTTAAGTTGAATCAAAAGCAAAGATAACTTCAACGTTGCTTTTACATCTACCTAGGGATGGCAATTCAACCCGAACCCGAGCTTAACCGACCCGACCGAGCACTAAAATATCCGAACCCGAACTGAGAATAAAATAATCCGAACCCGACCCGAATTTTTTTACCCGAACCCAACTTCGGGTCGGGTCGGGTGTGGGTTTATAATTTTACCCGACCCGACCCGAACCCGCACCCGATCCGACTCAAACCCGAATATTTAATAACATAAAAGCCTATTTATGGATATAATTAGCACTTCGTATAATCTCTTGACAAAGTGCTACTAAATCAAGTATGGTTTTTTTAATCATTTTTTATAATTCTTAATAAAAAATGAGACACAAAAAAGAGACACAAAAAAATTAGATTTAATCCTTTTAAAATTATTGGGGTACATCGAATTGATTATTGGTTAAAAGTCAAGTTCGGGTCGGGTTCGGGTTTTGGATTGAAATGCCGGGTTCGGGTCGGATCGGGTTTTTGACTTAGAATGTCGGGTTTCGGGTCGGGTTCGGGTTTCGGTTTTAAAAGTCGGGTCGGGTTCGGGTATAGTACTATCCGACCCGAACCCGACCCGTTGCCATCCCTACTGATCTACCTAATGATTTATGTTTTGGGGTCTTTAGTCTTGAAGTTTTGGGCACTTATTTTCTTGTTTTGTAACCTTGGCAGAATCTTCAGTTCGTGCACACGTTCTTTGTAATCAATACATACTTTTCTTAATCAAAACAAAACTAAAGTAACAGTCAAACATATAAAATATATACCAGAATAGAAGTTTCAGTTTTATTTAATTAGTGATAAAATATATGAACTACTCCGTGTATTCTTAGGTGATACTTATTTATGGATTAATTAGTGATAAAATATACATCAACAATAAAATTTGTTAATTATTGTTGATGTATTTTCTTATTTAATAATCCGTAATATATGAACTACTCCGTGTATTCTTAGGTGATACTTATTTATGGATTAATTAAATTAATCTAAAAGTTGTATTAAAATTTCAGTTAGTAAATACGGAGTATAATTTATAAAAAACTGTAGGGGTGCTCATTGTTTATGCACCGGCATAACTATTAACTTTTTGTTAAAAAAAAGGTGGCGGGCACCCCAACACCCCAGCTCGACAGATTAGTCAGAGGGTAAATCATGGTATAATTTTAATTTGGTCTTTAGAGAGGTCGCTTTGTGCCCGATAAATGTGAGGAGATATTACAAAGAATAGAACTCTCACACTGCCACTACCACTACTCGACCCCAAGATTTATGGACTTGACATTCTCTCATTGAACCATTAACTTTTTAAATGAATATTTGTGACGGATATATTTTCTGTGACCATGTAATGAAAAACCTTGGTATTTTTATTTATATACTCCCTCCGTCCTATAATGTTCTTCTCGTTTCTGTTCATGAGGTTTGACCGACTTTATTTTCATTTCAATTTATTTGATTGTAGGTGTAAAATTAAAAAATAAAATTTATATGTTTAAAAACTACATCAAAAGTTTTACAAAACAAGTAGTGACAAGACTATATTGTTTTATCAAATACCTAATGAAAATCGGTAAAAAAAGTGATTAAAGTTTGACCGTTTAAAAAGTAACTGAGAAGAACATTTTAGGACGGAGGGAGTATTTATGTTTGTCATCAACATCAAAGTGTCCCAGCGTCTTGTGTTGGGGTAACGCTGCTTGGGTAGCCCAGTCGAAAATAAAGTTTTTGTATCCAAATATTGTTATCACCCAAACGGTATTACCATGTTGAATTTTAATCAAATACTCCGTATTATACGCTGCTTGGGTAGCCCAGTATAAAATTAATCTTTTCTTTTCTGGAAAAAATTATTCCGTATTATATTGTAAAGTAAATATGAATATTTCAAAAATATTGATTTTTGGAAATTTTGGATTTATGAAAATACTTTGTAGAAATTGTTTTTGGTTTCCTTAATTAATAATTGATATATTTAAGAAAATAATATTTAAAATATGAAAATTAGGTTTTCAAGTCTAGTAGTAAACAAAATCTCAATTTTTGGAAAATATTTATTTTTGAATATTTGGAATATTTAGAATTAATTTTGGAAATTAATTTACTTCCTACAAACTCTGTTAGCAATTTGGATACGGGTATAATACGTTTATTCGTACATTCGTGTATAATACGGATCACATTTTTAAAATATGTCTTACTATACGTTATACACCTTTGGAGTACATAAACGGATTTTTTTAAAAATATGACTTATAATGAGTGCATGTATTTTAATACGAAAGACCATTTAAACATTGAAATTGAATACAAATACACAACAAAGTTTCTAAAAATTCAACCAACGCTACAATTTGTTGTTTACTCATTTTTTTCATGTGTATCTAAAGGGTAACTTTTCATCGAACTATTATTGTGTGCTTCCACAAAATATAATCAAAGTAAGAATACGTTCTTAAAAATGAAGCTAACATTTAGACACGAGTAGAACATTTAAGATATGAAAAAAATTACTCTATATATTATTAGACAATTTGAGTTTTACGAAATTGATTAAATTCTCAACACAAATTTAAAAAAAAATCCATGTCTCTTTGTAATATAATTATGAACTCATTAAGTAATAATATTTTACGAAATTTAATTAAAATTGAGTCAAATGAAATCAACTTTATATTTTTCATTTTTAGAATGAAAATACAGTTAAGAACTTATATATTTAGAATTTAGATCACACAAATGAAATCAAATTTGTATTTTAAACATCGATAAATATTTAACCACAATAAATAAATACAAAATTTGATTATATATGAATATTTTAAACACATAAAGAGAATATTGTTGTCTGCTATTTGCTAGAGTGGTTAGAGTATTGGCCTTCCAACCAGATGGAGTTCAAGAGATTGCTAGACCATGAATGATATTTAATTATGATTTTAACATTTGTATTTTTGGAAGGAAGACAATCAAGTAAATCAATTCGATCCAAAATTTGACCTTCTAAATTCTGATTTTTGGAGTCAATAGAAGATGATTTTTATGATGTAATACGTATAAAATTTATAAATATGTTTGGGGTCAAAATACGTGCATTATATGTTTGTCACATGAAAAATTTGTATTCGTGAGTATAATACATGTATTATACATATATGTGAGGAGGTAAAATCTAGGTAAACAAGGAAACAAGATCTTCTAATTAATAGGAGAAATATATTTGCCATATTTAACACCCCTTCCCTCAGATATATCATAGTTCATTATACACTGACAACACATTGCTACTAGATAATGTTGGCTAGGTTCTTCAGGACCTATATTAACTGATACTGCAAGATCTGTTATGCTGTCTCATTAAAAACATTACTAAGAAAACCCAGTGGGACAAAACTTAGTCAAGGGAAAAAGAGTATAACATGTATAATGCTCCCCCTCAAACTAATTTATCTCCATTAATCTGTAGAGACCAATCTTCTTTATGAGTTGCTCAAAACTATGTCTAGGCTGGTAGTCAAGTCTACCAAATTTTCACTTGATTTAACTTGGAGAACATTGATCTCTCCCTCTTTCTGCAAGTCATATGTTGAGAAAAACTTTGGTGAGATGTGCTTCGTTCTATCTCCCTTGATGTAGCCTTCCCTGATATGAGCTATGCATGTTGGGTTGTCTTCGTATATAATTATAGGATTTTTCTTGATTTCTTCCAAACTACATGCTCCTTGTATATGATCATGTAGCTTCTAGCTTCTTGTTTTCATGTAGCTTTTAGCTTTTCTAAAATGTCCTCATTGGAAAATATTTGTAGGTGTTCTCTACTATTCTCTGATGTGGTTTTTAGGTGGTAACAGTTTTGTCGAATATCTTTGAAACTAAGTAAATTCCTTCTGCATTTAGTTGAGTA